TATATAATAACTCATTATCATCATCATATTAATATAAAAACTTTTGCATTATGTCATCACCAACAACAACACTAGCTAATAATCATCATATATATAGTCATTACCACTATTTTAATCATCATTATCTAATCACGACGAACACTAGCTTAAAGAAGAAACATTCACTTGTACAAAAAGCAAAGATATTATCAAATTCAACATGGTCATGAGATTATTATAAGTGTTCATAACTAAGATCACAAAATCAAATCACTTTGAGATTAAGTTCAGGACGAAGAACACGGACATGAGACGATAAGTACTAAGAGTAGGAACTAGCTAATCACTCCTGCTGCTCTCTCTCAGGTAAAATAGCATAGAACATGTGTAGCTCTCCTGATTAATCATATTGAAGCATGCAGAATAACCTGTCTCCTAATCGTGGGTTGCACTTCTGATTATTGCCCCCCAGTACTTCTCTGCGATCATTCACAATTTTGCTCCAGTCTTTCACTATTAAGCATTTTTCGGTTTTAGAAATCCTGAATGCACTCATGTGCAATGTAGGATATGTCTTGATCGTAAGCTAATCATTGATATGCGACCGTTAGTCTCGATCCACTGAGGCACAAATATCATCGGGAGTCCCTGTTGAATAACATCGTATAGTAACATACTTAGCAATGAACTTTAGCTTAAAAAATAATGTATGCAAAAGATGCACTGAGGACAAATAGTAAAATTCTTACCATCTTTCCTAAATAGATGTAACCGTAGTTCAATACGAACACTATTGGTCGCATGTTTTGAGTACTAAGATTTTCAAGTCTAGAAAAATAATTTCTCTTGACAGCATCAAGATCTTCAAGCCATGAAACATAATGATTTATCTTCTCGCGGTTTAATTCAGCCCCGGGACAGTGGACGGTCCTGTCTACCAAGCGACGGACATGTTTGCTTGAATGCAAATAAGCTGTCAATAGAAATTGGTTGTCAGCTACTTTTAAAATAAACAATATCGAAGACATAAATATTGTTAAGAAACTCACATAATGGTAGAACTGGAGGCGTCTGCACATCGATCCATATATCGATATTACCTTCAATATCATGTTCCAGACGAATATCAAAGGTGATAAACATATCAGACTCAAATGCATAAGCCTTGCATAGTGCTTTCCAAGTTTTGCATTCAAAATAGGTGTAGGTGTCCGCATTGTATAATTTTGCGTGGAAAGTATAACCATGCATGGTGTTCAAGTAAACTCTCTTGACCTTCATAGTTTTCATAGGACTGAAACATATCTTATCCAAGACAAAAATTCTTGCATGGCAGGGGATATGCTATTAGAATAGTAAAAAAAACAAAATTATAAGTTGAAGCAAATGAAGCATATGCTTAATTATGAAAAAAGACTTGTCGTTGTGACTTACTGTATCCATTTCAAATGTCTCATCCAACTTGATGCTGAAGCATCTACCATAAACTAGGAAATTTCTGTCGCACATGCCGCACTTGTCTTCGCAATATTCGCACATAACGAAATCATTCTCGTCGTCAGACTTTTCTTATGTTCATAGTTGAAACATTAATTGATAAACACTTACTAGTTCTATTAATTCAAGTAATTCAACTAATTCTATTAATTCAACTAATTCAACTAAGCACTTATTAAAAATAAACTAGTTCTATTAAGCTTCTTACTAAAAAATAAAATAGTTCTATAGTAAAATTTTAATTAATTATTAGATCATCAAATCTCATATACCTAAATTAATCTAGCTAATTCATCTAACATTTGACATTAATATCTAACATTTCTAT